ACACACACCATACTCATCTGTGCACCAATAAAATGTGCAACACTATGTTTTTACTACCAAATTATATGTATGTAATAAATTTAAATTAAAGTGGAATGTTTTCCTCGACATCTCAAAATTTCGGGGCACATGAGTTCCCGAACACAATGCATGATGGGATACGCGTAGTGTGGGCATTTTTACGACTCGCTTTAACCCTGCCGAGTGTCAACAGCCTTCACGAGCCAAAGATCTCGTGTAAAACACACTCTCATAAACACAGGTGTACACACTGTAGTCTTTATTTGCACAATTTTGAACGTAAACGTTTTTTGTTGTTGTTGTTTTTTTGTTGAAAACTGTTTTTCCAGGTGTTGCACCTTGTGAAAATAAATATGAATCGGAGCCAAAAGGAAAAAAAAATCCAATAAAAGAAATGAAAGAATCTGTAAAGCTTTGTAATGGAATCAAAGTCAGAGCAAATATTTACAGCAAGGACGAGAACTGTAACTATACTATTCTTTTATAATTACAATGATTATGCTTTACAGAGGTCGAGCATTTAAAGTGACAGAAGACAAAACTGCAGCTCTTATAATAAACAGAGCATTATCCTCCGCTGGTGAACACACACACATATAGGGGATCAAACCTCGAACAACGCACGATATGAGCTGCCTTTATCTGGACGCTCTCCACCAAACGTCCGTCTACGCATTAACGCTGAACCGCGCATTTCTGCTTCCTCACCAAAAAACGCCCGTTGGAGTCAGTCTATGCTAAAAAACTCACTTTTAATATACTGTATAAAAACATACTTTCAATTAACTTACATTTTGTAAGTTACCTGTGTCATTATTACTTAATCAATACAACCCAGCTGTAGTTTGATTGATATTACGTGGAATGGACTTTATGAAAATGAACAAGCAAAATTGCAAACTGAAAACATGCAAATGAACTCTTCTGCTGTAACCGTGCCAACTGGGGGAGGCGTGCCGTTTAATTAAACGCTCATGTTATATATTTTGGTTGCATTTGAGAGTTAATAAAAATGTAACTGGTTGTGTAAACGTGGCACTTAATATATAAAGAGCGATAAATTAATCAATATAGCCCTGAATTGAATCGTAATCATATTGCAGAAGGTATTCGTATCGCTGGCTGAATCGATATCATACCGTATTGATGATGAACGGTCCGATTTACACACCTAATATCAGTCTTAGCCTGAATAACAACACTGTTACAACTAGCCTTGGAGTGAGTGAGTCTCTCTCTCTCTCTCTCTCTCTATGACAGAGAAATTGAGAGTGAACTCTGAGAGGGTATCGGGAGCAATGCCTTATGGGTAAATCTG